TCTCTTTTATTTATGGGCTTTTGTTGTGTTTGTTATATTGACTGATGAATGTAAGAAGACATTTCTCTTTCACAAACCAAGATAACTAACAGGTGAACTCTTTCTGACTCAGCCATGAACTGACTGTAAATAAAGATGGACAACGCAGCTCCACTTCCTCCCGTTAAACAAAACTGAAGCCAAACTCTCCCAGGTACAAAAGCTGTCATCATCTGGAGCAAGAGTCTGTGTCGTGGAGATCAGGGGACGGAGCCCAGGAATCAAGGTCCCGCCCATACACTCGGTGGACCAATCACGAGTCAGCATCAGCTGTCAATCAGCTGCGACCCATTTTATAGCATCAAATAACGAAGTAAATGCAAAAGTATCAGACCAATAAACACATCAGTGTCATAAGAACCACCTACGATGAAACCTATTCTGGGTTTTTAGCTCGAAATACGTCCCAACCGCTAACATAGAGGAGGCGGGGTCGACGACCTTTACTGCAGTCAGACACCAGGGGGCGATCGTCATGCTTTGACTAAACTCTCGGGGGCTCGTCGTGTCGTCCATCTTTATTTACAGTCTGTAGTCACAGTGCAGCTTGTGTTCTGATCGTACTCACGTCGCACTGACATCCAGCTCTGTGCTGACATCCGTCCTGATCGTCCACATTTATAAAAACCTTCATGTGCCTGTGACGCCTCAGGGATGGTGAGCTCCTGTCTCCTATCGTTTTGGATGAGTTGGTCATTTTTATAGAAAAGCACGTCAGAGGGATCATTTTCCGTCCTCGGCCTGCAGCCGAGAGTGACGGACGTCCCCTCAGCCACAGGATGGACGGGACTCTCCAGGATAATATCAGCAGCTGTGAGACAGTCAAAGAAGATGGAGTTTYATCAAGAGAACAGCTGTTGGACAAAGATCATCGTATCACACTGTTTGAAATCCTCTAGAATCAGCACACGCTGGTCATGACATCACAAATACCTGACATGACAAACGTTTTAATGCTTGGCTTGTGTGTKCACAATTTAAAAGTGTCCTAAATGTTCTAATGAGACTGAATTCTAGAATTCTACTGTTCTAATCCTGCCTGTTTGGAAGGTTCTGTTCTTTTGGTCTGTGTTGATGCTCCGGAGCCACTTCACAATTATTACTTGTCATTAGTGAGTCGTCCTCAAACACAATATTCTGTCTCTTTTTATTTACAGTCTCTGCTGCAGTTAGAAAACTCTGTGTTCATCCTACCTGGTTTATCTGCAATAAGGACTTTATGCTACTATGACAGACATTAGTGTGAATTCAGTCGGATACTGTGAAATCAAATGAGAGATTGAATAGACGTAGAGTAACTGCACAGAACGTTGAGTCAATTACAAGAAACAAGACAAACATGGATTCAAACTCACAGGCGACAGTAATGTTGACTGCATTGCTGAACTGTCCTGATCCAGACCCACACCAGAACACTGCAGAGCCGTTTAGATTATAAACTGTGCACATTGATCCAGTCCCTGTTCTCCTGACAGGACAGGGTAACAAGTGAATTATTTCATCAAAGTAGAAGAATCTGAATTCAGTTGAGTTTCCTTCACAGCTCAGAGACACAGGTTCGGAACTGAAGTGTTGCACTCTGTCAGGATTCACTGTGAGAGATGGTGCTGAATGAAGATCTGGAAAACCAAACAGAATAGATGTTCACAGCTCGAGAGATAAAGAGCAGTGCACAATAATTCTGTTCAAACGTAGAAATGAAAAGCATCAGAGAGGGTGATGCAAACCCTGCACTGAACATAGAGATGATATTTAAAGACACATGACAGCTCCCTGACAGTGAAGCCAAAGTGTCTCAATCGCCCCCTAGTGGCTTGCTGAAGTATAGCTCATGATCCCCCCACCTAAAATAAAATCTATTTTTTAATTGAAGTCTCTCCTGATTGAAGAAATGTTGGTCAGAGACAAACTGAATGAATGAAGGTGAAGAGGAAACAGAATAAAAAGCAGACTGACCTCTGGACCAGACAAACTTAGGGTCACTGCTCAACGAGTGATAGACTGGGTCTCCTCTTTCAGCGCTGCAGAAGTATCCTGTGTATGTCTGATCGTAAACGATGATGGTTCCATTGGTGCTTCCAGGTAGAAACTCATAATCGTAGGACCATTTTTCTGGTCCTGTGTAAACAGTCTTGTACCAGAGGAACCTCCAACCTGCAGATGGATATTTGAAGCTGCAGCTCAGAGTTACTGAGGCTCCAGGACTCGGCCATGATGTAGTCACAGTAAGATCTGGTATGGGTGTCTCTGCAGGAAAGTAATTTTCACAGAATGAAAACATGATTTCTTGTTGCTTGTATCCCAGTTTCTCTGTCTTTAAATATCTGACACAACTGTGAAGGAGCATTTACAGAGTATTTTCCTCCAGTGGGTTATTAAGGAGTTTTGTAAAAGATAAAAATCATTTATTTCTTTTGAAGCTTTTTTTATCATTATGTAAATGTGTGTTTAGGCAGAATTAGTAGAGCTGGACAAAGTCTTAAAGTACAAATGAAGATATTACTACAATATCCATTATATCAGTGCATTAGTGTTACCAGTGAGCTGTGTCACTTACCTGATACAGTTAGAGAGAGCTCATTACTCTTCTTCTCAATCTCAGACTGTTTTCGTTGACCATAGCACTGATATTTACCACTGTSGKCTGTARTTAGTTKTATTTTSYAGCTTCTYMYTSTGCTGTATSGGGCAAATTCATGTCCATCCTTTAAGAGTGTGTAAAACCAGTCTTTGTGTTGTCCATCCCTCATGTCACATGTTAAGGTAACAGACTCTCCGGTGAATAGAGGGGACCACTGTGGCTCAATGGTCAACACAGCGTCTAGAAGCCACAACAAGGACAGAGGACGTGTGAGTGATTTCAATGAAAGATTCATCTTGAATGAATAAAACAAAGAGAGGAAGAATGTAAAATCACCTTCAGCATGTCCACAGCRGAGGAATRTGTTCAGCACTGAAGTGAAATTTGAAAATGATCAAACCTTGACAGAAAAGATCCAAAACACAGTAAAAAAAACTGAGTGAGTACTCACAGAACAACCGAAGCACACAGAGCAAAGTCCGTCCCATCCTCACTGCTCTGCTCTGTGCAGAGACGAAGCTTCACGGTGCAGAGGAGACACCGACGACTGGAGACAGACACAACGGACACTTCACATCAATGCTGCTGAGTGTTTCTCAATCTTCCTCTTCTCAGTTCAGCTCGTCTACACTTCCTGCTTTTCACACAAGTAAGACAGGATGTAACGTGGTCTTTACTAAGTATTCATACATTCAGGAATACAGTTACCAGTATTCTGATAAATATATTTTTGTTGGCCCGGATCTTTACATTACTAAAATTAACAAAACACATAATCTTGCAATGTTGAAGGAAGTGAAAAAGAATTCTTGGATCCACACCAAAATGAAATGTACTTTTATTCTGACACGTACCACACCCTTCCACCGAGTTTCATGGTGATCCTCTGTCTGGTAGTTTCTGCTAACAAACAAGTAAAGCAGATGAAAACCTTGTTGGCGAAAGGATCTGAAATATTCTTGGTTTGTGTGTGTGCAGTAGATCTGATGCACATTCAACGACACAGTGTCCCACGTTGCTAAGGAGTGATACAGGATGTACTTTATTCATATCATTAAGAATTATGTAGGAACGGTTCATGTATACTCTCCAGTACATGGTGGATACAGGTTCAATATAAATTCACAGAGAAACTCCTGCTTGAACACTTTGGCTTCATATTCATACGACAGGAAGTGGAGATGTTGATTTCAGCTTTTCATGAGAAATACGATATGTAAATATATTTAACATGGGAAGAGCTGCTCTTATTTATAACTAACCACAAAACAACACCACTTTTTTCTTGATGTATTTTTACATCTTCCGAGATGTAACAGAAATCTATGAAAGTCTTTTTTCTTCTTTGACTGAGATCTGTCACATTTGATTCATTAATCTAGTATTTCTATTTAACATGAGGTTAAACATGCATCTCTGGTGTTTCAATGCTGCCAACAGTAGAATGATGAATGAACGAACGTCCAAACATTACTCAAGGCATCTAAACTTACTTTTTCATCCTGCACATCAACAACCTTTAGAATTCTTTCTCACTTTCATAACATGGAATCATATTTATCCCATGAGACAGAAGTCCGTTCAGTTCATTGATCGTTATCACAGAAATTCCAGTAGTTTTCAGGCTCATCTGGATTTTTTCTCTCTGACTCGAGTGAGAAACAGGAAGTACATGAATAAAGTTGTGATTTCCAGTTTAAAGAAAGTGAATATTTTGCATGAATGTCCCATCTGGACAGCCCCGTCCGATGGTGTCATGTGACCTGTTGGTGCTGCTGTGACTTCAGAGTTTTGGGCTTTTGCAACACACTGTACACGGTGATAACTTCTGAGTGTGAAGCCTCTCCCAGCGTGTCACTCTCAACAGGGGGAGGAGTCACATTTGCTGCCTGCACCACGCTGTAGACAGTCTGCACTTCCTGACTTGGCGAGGACCCCAGCTCCTCAACCAGCTGTGCGGCGTCCACGTTTTCATAAGCGGCCTCAGACGGACTGGAGGAAGAGGTAGAGACTCTGGGCTCAGGCTGTGGCTGTTCCTCAACCAACGTCTGTCTCTGGAAATAAGAAATACAGTTTTTAAGTGACATGGTCCGTCACGTGAAACGCCATCTCAAGCCCTTCAAGTGAAACTGAATGTGTTTCTTGACTGTAAACTAAATGATATGACTTCTTGTAATGAGACATATTAATGCTGTATGTTTATATTTAAACACCTCTCGACTACCCACCCTCTCCTGCCCCCTGGCTGTGGGCTGTCTCACTCACACACAGTTTGGATCCCTGGCTATACGACCATCTGGGCCGGCGGTTTGAACGAGGACGACCATGTTTTTTTTTTATACAGTAGTCCAAACTGGACAAACTAAACCTTTTGAGTTTCTATGACAGCTGGAGCTACCACAGGTTCTCACTTCACCACTAGATGTCACTAGAGTCTACACACCGGACCTGTTAGTGAAACTGCTAGATTTAGATTAAAGCATTAGATTTAGAGCTTTGATTCAAAACGCACTCCCCTAACCCTAACCCTCACCATTCACACTGTTAAGAGACAAGTATTAACAAAGGTTTGTGCAGCCTACCTGTTGGTCATTAGAATGTGAAAAGAGCCTCAGAACAAAGAAAGCAATTGATGCGATGAGAGACACACACACTGCAGCAACTGCTACTATTGTGAGTAAAGGTTGTGATGCCTCTCCGAGTTCAGGATCAACTTTACTGAAGCCTGGAAAGACACAACACACATCATGAGACATGGACAGCAACAAGACATCTATCCAGATCGATTCATACGAGAAAGAGTTCAAATGATCAACACTTACACGTTGTTGACATGTTTGCAGACACATTATTTGCGCTAACTTGATTGTTGCCGCTGCAGACGACGGTCCAGTTGTCGGCGGCCATGATGGCGATGTTGACCTTTTGGTTCAAACTCTGAGACACTCGACAGCGGTCCTCACCGCAGACGGCCCACACCCATTCGTCCTGGACGGAGCAGTTGACCGCGATGCTGCAGAGTCCAGCAGAAAGGTTGGAGAGCAGGACGGACATTTGGATGACAGGCCTGGGGACACTGTCTGCAAACGGCCGAGCAGATAAGTGAAGTCGTTCATTCACTCCAGAGTGAGTTCAACATTTGGTTGTGCTGTCCGAATGTCTAGTGAGAACTACTGTGCAGAAACGTGCTCGTCAATGAATGTTCTTGTTTATATCCCACAATCCATCATGGGAAGTACAAACTATCACCAGACCAATGTAAATAAAGACAAAACAGAACAGCTGTTTTAGTCTGTTGACGCAATCCAAGACGTATATGATGATTGACTGAGCTTCAAATTCAAAGTATAGTTTTCTTCTGTCACATTATATGTTCAGTTATAAGTATTATATACTCCCGTTGGGAATCTTCTGAGGTAATATGTAGAAAAGGTAAAAGAAGAACCATGAAGAAAATCCTATTCTTGCTCAGTTCCTCATTTTTATTTAATTATTTTAATGACTCTGTCACGTTCCCGTTCATGTCGTTCTATTTCCACCCGGTTTTAGTCTGTGTTTATTTTCGTATCTATTCCGTCGTCCTCTGAGAAGTTGATGGTTAAATTTATCCTCATGAAAAAAACCTTTTCTCAGGAGGTGTGATTCTATTTTAAGAAACTTTAAGAGAAGTTGTGGCGAGAAACTAAAACAATGTATTTGCATATGAAGATGCGGCTCGAAACAGATTATGTTTTATCACATGTCAGAGTGAAAGGAAATGTTAAGATGAAACGTCTGTGTGAACACATAAATGACAGAGAAACAAACCCACCTTGAACGATGACTCTGTGTATCTCAGAGCGGGACTTATACCCAGAGTCGAGATATTCGAAATGATAGTCACCGGCGTCCTTGTCCGTCAGCTCTTTAATGCACAAGGTCAAATTCGAGGGATTGAATTCCATTTTCTTTGCATAGTTGGGATTACTAACTTCTTTAGAGGCAATGAAATTTCCACCAAAGTTCCACGAAGCACGCGTGTGCGGTGGTGGTTTTGTAACATTGAGACATATTGAGCTGTTTGTCATCTTATAATGTGTCAGTACTTCGTCCTCTGCCGTGATTCCTGAGGAGAAAAAAAAAAGTAAAATTAAATAAATAGAACTTCACATAAGTTAGGGAAATGTGCAAAGACATGAAAAACATTTGCAGTAGCATTGATGTATGAAGAAGGCACACGTCCACGTGAAGGCACAAAATTGAGATGTTAAACCTGAGAACAACTTTAACTCAAAACCTGCTGCATATGGAAAACAACACCTCGCTGCTTTTAAATGAGTTTCACTCAGATGAACTTACTGAAACATTTAACTGCACACAATTCAAGTTTCATTCATTTTACCTGCAAGAATCCAACAGCTGAGAAGAAGAAACATTTTCAATCCTCAAACGCGGTCGGGACGAAGCTGAGTTTGAAAAGCGTTAGATGGGAAACACAGTGAGTGCTGGTGCAGCAGCAGAGCAGCAGAGCAGCTGTCACACGGTCAGGAAGTGGTAGAAGTTGCAGCTGTGACTTCAATTCATTTGAATACAACCCACAGTCAAATAAAAGCGCCAGGAGAAAGGAATAAAATGCCCCAAAATTCAAAAGAAAAATGTAAATTCAAACTTTCAATCTTTCTTCTCACATGCAGACATTGCAAATAACATTTTATTAAAGAAGGCACTTAAACGTACATTAGCAGTCGGACCAAGAGCTTCCAGTATTCAGAGGGAGACATACACAGTATAAACAAGCACCGCCACCAGTGATGCTGAACCTTTATCACCAGGCTTGTATGGAACAGCAGAGGATTGGAAATTAAAACAGATGATGACACTTTTAAATTTAGTGCTTTGTATTTTTTTTTTCCATGAACATCAGGTGATATTATGATCTTGACTTAAAATAGAATAAAAAAAGGATTCGCCCCAAAGTGTAAAGGTTTGTTGTGTGGGTGGGTTATTTTTTCACATCCAGTACAGACGTACGTTTAAATTCAAACAGTTCACGTAAAGGTTCATACAAAGAGTATTATCACGCTCACGAAGCATGAACACACACTCACACCTCCCCAAACATAACCACACACTTAATGATTCAATACAGTGCATTACAAAGTTAGTACAGTTACTCATCTTGTGTAAAATGCCACTTTCCCTTCAAGTTAAAGTGCTTTTAGTAATATTACTAAACATATATACCCCAATGAACGAGGACGTTCATGTCAGAGAGCACAGTATATTCAGGTGTAACTTGTAATAGTGTTAGAAACGACTACGTACGTAAAGTATGATACATTCCTTTAAAATCTGACGTTATAAAAATAATACAGTTCCAGTATTTTCTCCACCTTTTGCAGGTTTTTAATTAATAAAAAAAAAACAGTACTGTGATTCAGTGAAGGGACGTTCAACTTCATCTCATCGTGTCAGTTTATATCAGCTTCTATCATTTCTTTAAGGGTCATTTTCTCAAAACTGGTTAAAACATCTTTAAGTGTGAGGAGACTTTTAAATATATTTCCAATAAAAAGCAACTTTTTCTTTTTTCTGAATCAAGTCAAATTTCCAAGGAGTTAACGTTTGTGTTCTTTATTTCTTTTTCATTTATGTAGAAAATTGTTTTAAACAGGTTTCCTGGCCTGAGGGAGATTTTGCAGAGTTTCCCAAAGTTGTGTTGATGTTGTGTTGCACATTTGTACATGTGGCTTTTGTAAAGTAGGTTTCAGTCATCTTCAGTTTCTTCTCTGCAAACTTGTGGCCCAGGTGTTTGACTTCCTGTCGCATGTCCCATGATATGCGTAGGCAGAATGCGACTTCTTCTGAAGCTTGGTTGTGTTTTTCTGTCCTTTCATCTCAGTTTCATATCAATTTTTTCCGTAACCTCAGACATTGCTAATGCGCACGCTCAGTGGGCTGCTATCTCTGAGGCGCCCCCTTTCTCGCCCCCTCTCCTCCCCCCTGTAGTTCTCCTCCAGTCTCATCTTCTCCACGTCCATCCCATCCTCCTTGCTGCTGCGATACCGGGACGCCTGGGTCGGCAGGCTCGGCGGCAGGGCCTGCTTGAAGAAGAGCGGGGATTTGGTTTTGGCCACTTTGTCGAAGAAGGCAAAATCAGCCACGTACTTTCCCGAAGGGGACAGGGAGACCACGGGGGGAAACTCGTAGCCCCAGAGGATCTCGTCGGGAAGGTAGGATGTTCGAACCTGGCAGGTGGCGGAGGTCGGCTCAACGGTGGCGCTCAGGATCACCAGCAGCTCAAAGTCAGCCACGTCCGGGTCTGTCCAGCCACCACCTGGAGGAGAGAGGAGACCAAAGGCTTTCAGTTCGTCCTGCGATGGTTTTAAAACTGTTGAGTATTAAAAAACAGATTGCAGAAGCAGAAAACCTGCTTGAGTTCTGATCTTCTCATCTAGATTCATGAATTATTTCCTGGGAAATTGATGAAAATGTCACAAAAGACGCAGTGTTCTTTTTTTGCCACGCCCCTCCATCAAGTTCCCTGGTACTCCGCCCCTCCCTCTGAAATCTCTCTTACAAACACATGGTGAGGAAACAACGAGGTCACACTTCTTAAGACTGAAGGCAAAGTAAAGTGGAAGTAACAAATTACAGTCATTTAAATCTGGTGTTGCCCTTAATTGCCAATCAAGCGTCAGTGACTAACTGATTGGTCAGTTGCTCACAGGAGACTCAGGAAATCCAAAGTGTTGGATTCTGTTGAGACGGTGGAGGACGACGCAAACTCAAACATGTAGCCTAACGTTTTAAATGAGATATACATGTTCAGATACATTTACAATCATTACCACTTTGCTGGTGTCACTGACAGACTCACTTTGTGTGTGAGAAATATTTTAAAAGCTCATAATTCTTCACATCACAGTTTGGAACTCAAACCTGAGGCCCATGAAAATATATATTTAGATATGAATTATGATAATAAATATGAAACAGCTAGTCAACTAACGTCCTGAACTACAACAAAGAAAGTATTTGGTCACTAAATTGATTGTCGATATAAAACAGCGCTATTATCTGTGAGGGGTTTGTTAGATTGTTAGACTTCAGACTGTAGTTAAATCAGATTAACATTTGTTGGAGGGGAAAGACACACACTCATGCACTGAGGCACATGCACATCCTGAGATTTCCAAAACATAAAACTTCCAGACTGACTCCAACACACACACACACACACACACACACACACACACACACAC